TCTGCTGATATTTTTACCCGCCAACAAAGATTATGCTTTGGATATGCGTCTGCATCCTGAGCAAAGAAGACTGACAGTGCCCGCTTGGTGTATTGGTATCTTACGATTTCAAATGGCAGTCGTTTATGTTTTTGCTGGAATTGCCAAACTCAATCCTGATTGGCTTTTCGAAGCATTTCCGATGCGCATTTGGTTGCCAGGCAAATCGCATTTACCCATCGTTGGGTCCTTGATGTATGAGACTTGGGTAGCCTATTTGTTTTCATGGTTTGGTGCTGTCTACGATTTGTTAATTGCCTTCTTTTTACTCAATAAAAAAACAAGACCTTATGCCTTTGCTTTTGTCCTGATATTTCATGTCGCCACTGCTATTTTCTTTCCAGCCATTGGGATGTTCCCTTATGTAATGATTGCGAATAGTCTTATTTTCTTTTCCGCAGAATTTCACCAAAAATTGCAATCCTATTTACCTTTTTTCAAAAATCGATTAAAAAATTTTTCGCAGACAGCATTAGCCTATCAATTTCATTTCAACCCATTAATGAAAGCTGCATTGTATGTCTATATTGCCTTTCAATTGATTTTCCCTTTTCGCTACTTGCTGTATCCTAGTCATTTATTTTGGCACGAAGAAGGCTTTCGCTTTTCGTGGCGTGTGATGCTTATGGAAAAATCTGGTGCAGCATACTTTACAGTTAAGGACAAAAGAACGAATCAAAGTATTGACGTAAACAATCGCGAATTCCTGACCCCTTTACAAGAAAAAATGATGAGCACTCAACCAGATTTGATTGTCAAATATGCCCATCATTTGGCGCAGGAATTTCAAAAAAAAGGAATGCAGCAACCAGCAGTGTATGCCGAAATTTATGTGGCATTAAATGGAAGTCGTTCCCGTTTATTCATTGATTCTAGCGTAAATTTAGCGGCTGAAAAGCTAGGATGGCAGCATTATAGCTGGGTATTACCTTACCACAAAACGAGCAATTAAAAAGTGACGAAAACTTTACTGACTACTATATTATCAATCTTCTTTTTTAGCAATAGTATTGCTCAAAAACAATTTGCATTAAGTGGTACTATTCGTTTAGGCGATGAGGCCGCGACTAATGCCAGCATTTTATTAATCCCCGACTCCCTAACAAAAACTACTAACGACAATGGTTTTTTTCGCTTCGTAAATTTAAAGCCAGGCAAGTATGAAATAGTGATTTCCTATATCGGGCAAAAAGATGTCGTGAAAAGTTTTGAAATCATTGATAAAAGTATCAAAGTGGATGTGGACATTGAAACGAAAAAATCTATCAAATTGAATGCCGTTGAAAGCAAAAGTAAAAATGAGTCGGCGTCAGGAAAACTGAGTGATGTATCGGGTACAAACATTTATGCTGGGAAAAAAACAGAAGTCATTTATCTAAAGAATATCAATGCCAATTTAGCTACCAACAACACGCGACAAATTTATGCGCGCATACCCGGTCTCAACATTTGGGAATATGACAGAGGTGGCTTGCAGCTTGGCATTGGCGGCCGCGGACTAAGCCCCAACCGTTCTTCCAATTTCAACATTCGACAAAACGGATACGATATCAGTGCAGATGCTTTGGGCTATCCAGAAAGTTATTACACACCCTCTTCTGAAGCCATAGATAGAATTGAAATCATCCGTGGCGCTGCAAGCTTACAATATGGTCCGCAATTTGGTGGACTTATCAATTTTGTGATGAAAGAAGGGACGAAAGAAAAGCCTTTTGAACTGACCACAAGGCAAACAGCGGGCTCCTTTGGCTTTGTAAATAGCTTCAATAGTATTGGCGGTACAGTTGCCAAAAAGAAATTGAATTATTATGCCTTCTATCAATTTAAAAAAGGCGATGATTGGCGCCCCAATAGCCATTACGAGCAACACAATGCTTACCTGCATCTATCTTATGAGCTCAGTAAAAAATTGAAGATTACGGGTCAGTACACCTTGATGAAATATTTAGCACAACAGCCCGGAGGCCTTACAGATGCCGCATTTGAGCAAGATGCCGCACAATCTATTCGCGCCCGAAATTGGTTTCAGGTAGATTGGAATTTAATCAGCTTGAATCTAGATTATAAAATCAACGAAAACGTGCGCATCAATTTCCGTAATTACACTTTGCAAGGAGGGCGTGATGCAGTAGGGCTTTTGTCCTATATCAACCGCCCAGATAATGGTGGCAACCGCGATGTGATGACCGACCAATACAGCAATTTCGGGTCGGAGCTACGGTATATCCACCAATACAAATTGATGAATGAACTGCACAGCACTTTCCTTGTTGGAGGTCGTCTGTACAAGGGACTTACGCTTCGTCAGCAAGGCGATGGCTCAGATGGCAACGATGCCAATTTTAATTTTATCGGAGCCGAAGCCAATAGTTCTGACTTCAGATTTCCAGGCACCAATCTTGCAGCATTTGTCGAAAATATTTTTCAGATAAATAAGCGCTGGACCATAACCCCTGGTATTCGTACTGAACATATCAATACCAAAGCTGATGGCTACTATTACAAGAAGAACATTTTTATCGCACCCGAAAAAATATTGGAAAGCAAAGAAAGTCCACGAAACTTTGCATTATTAGGAATTGGCTCGGCTTACAAAACAAAATGGGGTGGAGAATTTTATGCCAATATTTCGCAGAATTATCGTTCCATAAATTTCAATGACATTCGGGTTGTTAATTCAAATTTTCGTGTTGATCCAAACCTGAAGAATGAAACAGGATACAATGCTGATGCAGGTTTTAGAGGTAATTTTGGAGGATGGTTGTATGTAGATGCAAGTGTTTTTTACTTGCGTTATAATGACAGAATAGGTTCTGTTTTTTCTCGAGATAGTAATTTTATGACTTACCGCTTGCGCACCAATGTAGCCGATAGTCGCAATATTGGACTTGAATGTTTGGTAGAAGGTGACATCCTAAAAGCCATTAGCAAAAGCAAGTCAAAATACAAATTGAATGTGTACACTAATTTATCTCTAATTGATGCGCGCTATACCAATACCAAAAACACTGCCATTGCTAATAAATTAGTTGAAAATGTACCACCTATTTTGTTCCGCACAGGAACATCATTTGGTACTACAAGATTTAATATTACCTATCAATTTTCTTATCAATCTAAGCAATACTCAGATGCCACTAATACAGAAATTACACCAACTGCTGTGGATGGTGCTATTCCGGCTTTTGCCGTAATGGATTTAAGTTTGAGTTATAATTGGCGGCATTTAGCCATCTTCTCTGGCATCAATAATGTGACAAACAAAAAGTATTTTACTCGTCGTGCGGATGGCTATCCTGGGCCAGGTATTTTACCAGCGGACAAAAGAAATATTTATGTGACTTTGCAGTATAAGTTGTAGTTGAATGCTTTAAAGATAGTGTAATCGAAATTGCACAAAACAAATAAACTTATGCCTATTTAATCTATTAAAATGTATTCTAAACGCTCTGAAACTCGGCTGCCCATGGTGCATTTTCGAATATCTTCTTCTACGAAACCTAAACCATATAATTCAGGTCGAAATTCTCTAAAGTCTCTTCCGATGAGCATGCCACCCTTTCTGATTTTAGGGAGCCATGATCTTAATACTGATTGATGATGACCGAGCATTGGCTTACAATTGAGGTCATAGTAAATAAAGTCAAATAACCCATCTTCCATGTTTTGGCAACTTCAATTGCGTCACTTTTAATTAATGTAACCCTTGTAATAAAAGGTTTTAGTTTTTTATTACACCTTAATTCGTTTTTATTGTTCTGCCTATACGCACCTCCTTCAATAACCTCCCAAAGGTCGATTCCTGTAAGATGTAATTGAGGATTAACTTTTAGCATATAATACATACTTCGTCCGGCTTTTGCACCTAATTCTACACCCTTAATAAATTGCTGCTCTTTGATAAAGTAAGGCAGGTCGAAAATAAACCAACCTTTATATTTGAACCAGGTGATGATATTGAGCATGTGGGACTTTGTATATGGAAGATGATTTATAATGGTGAAAATAGTTGTTTTTGTATCTATTTTTCCTGCTTACTAAAGAACTTTTGAATAAAAACACAAAAAAAACACAAGTACCTGTTTAGATGCTTGTGTTTATGAATTCTATATCTACTTCAATTTATGAATTATAATGTGCGGAGTTTAACTCTGTATTAGCTCTTTCTGCAGCCTCAATGGGTTCAAATGAAGATAGTGGCTCACCTTTACCCTTTCTTACCCAAGTAGTATGCTCAAAATGGGCTGATGGTTTTTTATCGGCAGTTGTGATAGTCCAACCATCATCAGCTTGATCAATATTACGTGTACCAAGATTAATCATTGGCTCAATAGCTAAAACCATGTTCTCCTTTAATCTTTTGCCGTCACCACGTCTTCCATAGTTAGGTACTTGAGGGTCCTCATGTAAATGTTTTCCTACTCCATGCCCAACTAGTTCACGAACTACCCCATATCCATATTGACCGTTGGTGTATTGCTCTATTGCATATGAAATATCACCAACACGATTACCATCAGCCGCTTGGGCAACGCCTTTGTATACAGATTCTTTAGTCACTCGGAGTAATTTCAGTATCGCAGCGTCAACATTGCCAATAGCAAATGTATAGGCTGAATCTCCGTGAAAACCATTCATGTAAACACCACAATCCACAGAAATAATATCTCCGTCTTTTAACTCATATGCACTAGGGAAACCATGCACTACAGCTTCATTAACACTGATACAAAGAGAGAAAGGAAAGGCATTGTTTTTAGGTCCATATCCTTTAAAAGAAGGGACCCCTCCATTGTCTCTAATAAAACTTTCAGCCATTTTATCAAGGGATAATGTAGTGATACCGGGCTTTAAAAAAGTTGCCACCTGTGTTAAGGTGGCACTTACCATTAAGGCGCTTTTTCTTTGTATCTCTATTTCTTCTTTTGATTTGATATGTATCATTAAACCAAATTTATATTTTATACAGTCGTTGATGCTGTAGTACGACCCTGTATTCTGCCACCTTTCATTAATCCATCATAGTGACGCATCAACAAATGGCTTTCGATTTGTTGTAAAGTATCTAAAATTACACCAACGCCAATCAACATTGAAGTACCTCCGAAGAAACTTGCAAAACCTGATGTAACACCAAGCAAACCAGCAATACCTGGAAGAATACCTGCGATAGCCAAAAATACAGCTCCTGGCAAAGTAATTCTATCCATAATAGTTGCGATAAAATTTGCAGTAGGTTCTCCTGGTTTAATACCTGGAATGAAACTATTGTTACGTTTCAGGTTATCAGCCATTTCAGTAGGATTAAAGATCAAGGCGGTATAGAAATAAGTAAATGCTATTACAAGTATCGCATAAATCAGATTGTACCACATAGAGGTGTTGTCTGACAATGAACGCATGAAACTACCAGTTGCACCTTCAGTCGTCATTTTAGTAAAGCCCACAATTGTACCTGGAATAAATAAAATTGCTTGAGCAAAGATGATAGGCATTACCCCTGAAGAGTTCACTTTCAAAGGAATAAAATCACGAGCACCGCCTTCAATATCTTTTGCAGCATTGGTGCTGCCGATAATACGACGAGCATAGTTTAAAGGTATTTTACGAACACCTTGAGTCAACAAAATAAGACCAACAATAACACCTATGAAAGCTATAATTTCAACAAGGAAAATCAACAATCCTCCTCCTCCACTACCACTTTGAGCAGCAAATTCTTGAAGAACAGATTCTGGAAGGCGAGCCAAGATACCAACCATAATGATAATTGAAGTACCATTACCAATACCTTTATCAGTAATTTTTTCACCAAGCCACATCACAAAAAGCGTACCAGCAGTAAGCACTACTACAGTAGTAAACCAGAACATGAAACTACTAAATTCAGGAATCAACGCTTGAGAAAACTCAGGACCACGAAGATAAGCAACATAAGCACTAGCTTGGAAAACAGTAACGATAACAGTTAAATAGCGAGTGTATTGATTAACGGTACGGCGTCCACTTTCTTCTTTTTGTAATTTAGCAATTTGAGGAATGACAATACCTGCTAATTGCATAAAGATAGATGCAGAGATATAAGGCATAACACCCAAGGCAAAAATCGATGCTCTACTAAATGCACCGCCCGCAAAGGCATTAAATAAACCCAATAAGCCATCTGGCCCTCCACCTGATTTAGCATCAAGAATGACAGGGTTAATACCAGGAATAGTAATATAACAACCTACGCGGTAAACAAGCACAAGCGTAAGGGTAAACAAGATACGCTTGCGGAGTTCTTCGATACTCCAAATATTTTTAAGCGTTTCGATAAATTTCTTCACAGGATTTCAGAATAAATGAGGTGATGCAGCTAAATTAAAAATAAAGTGCGAATAAACGACAAAAGACGCACTTTTACAAATGCGTCTTTTTGAAAAAAAAATAATTATAGAATTTCAACAGTGCCGCCAGCGGATTCAATTGCTGCTTTTGCTTTCTCACTGATAGCATTAACAACAAATTTGATGTTGGTTTTGCTCATCTCTCCGTTTCCTAAAATCTTTACTAGAGCAGTACGATTAATCAATCCGTTAACATACAAATTGTCAAGATTAAACTCTTTAAAATCGTATTTAGAAATGATTGTATCTAATTGACCAAGATTAAACACAGTATACTCTACACGATTCATATTCTTAAATCCGCGTTTAGGCATACGACGTTGGATAGGCATTTGACCACCTTCGTGACCTTTTTTGCTTTGATAACCTGTACGAGACTGTTGTCCTTTGTTACCTTTACCGGCAGTAGTACCACCGCTACCTTCTCCGCGTGCTACACGCTTCTTTGAATGAACTGAACCTTCAGCTGGTTTTAAATTGTGTAATTGCATTGTTTGTTACAATTTTGAAACTTGCGCGGAATGTACAACCGCTCGCAAATTGATGAATAATATTATTTAGCTTCTTCTACTTTAACCAAATGGTTAACAGTACGCACCATACCTAAAATGGAAGGTGTAGCTTCTACCTCAACGCTTCTGTTGATTTTACTCAAACCCAAAGCAACAAGAGTACGCTTTTGGTATTCAGGACGATCAATTCCGCTTTTGATTTGTGTTACTTTAATTTTTGACATGACTTTGTTGTTTTATTTAGTAGCCTTAAAAGCTAGATAAATTATCCGTTAAATACTTTTTTCAAACTCACATTGCGTTGTTTAGCAACAGCAATAGGCTCACGCAATTTGCTCAAAGCAACAACAGTTGCTTTAACCACATTCTGTGGATTAGCAGAACCTAATGATTTTGAAAGGATATCTGTAACACCCACAGCTTCTAAAACTGCACGCATACTACCTCCAGCAATAACACCTGTACCGTGTGCTGCAGGACGAATCAATACTTTAGCAGCTCCTTCTTTAGCAAATTGCTCATGAGGGATCGTACCGTGCATAATCGGAACTTTAATCAAGTTCTTTTTAGCATCGTCAATACCTTTAGTAATTGCCTCTTGAACTTCTTTGGCTTTTCCAAGACCTTGACCTACTACACCGTTACCATTACCAACTACCACCAAGGCAGAGAAGCTGAATGTACGACCACCACTTGTTGTTTTCACAACACGGTTGATTGATACCACTTTTTCGTGGAGTTCTAATTCGCCAGCTTTTACTCGATTTAATTGTGTCTTAGACATTTTGTTGTGTATTATTTTGAATGTTGTTGAAGTTGGTACTTCTCAAACGACATTTTAAAGTTAAAAATTAGAAAATCAAACCACCTTCACGTGCACCGTCAGCGATTGCTTTTACACGACCATGGTACAAATAACCACCACGATCAAATACGCAATTAGCAATACCCAAAGCTTTTGCCTTTTCAGCTAAAGATTTACCAACCATTACTGATTTTTCAACCTTATTACCTGCTGCTGCAGTGATATCTTTTTGACGAGAATTAGCGGCTACCAAAGTAAGGCCATTTGCATCATCAATCAATTGTGCATAGATATCGTTGTTACTGCGAAAAACAGATAAACGAGGTTTTTGAGCTGTACCACTGATTTTGGTACGAATACGCCAGCGTAATTTTTGGCGACGAACTACTTTATGATCTAAAGACATTTTCTTTCCTTTTTATTTTTACGGGCTTCATGATAAACATGAGCTACCGAGTTGTATTAATATTGTGACCTTACTTATTATTTACCTGCAGATTTACCAGCTTTACGACGAACAATTTCATCAGAGTAACGAACACCTTTACCTTTGTATGGTTCAGGTTTACGTAAGCTACGTAATTTAGCTGCTACCTGACCCAATAGTTGTTTATCCATTGATTCAAGTGTAATCGTTGGGTTTTTACCTTTCTCAGCAGTTGCAGTTGCTTTCACTTCTTTAGGCAATTGCAATATGATGTTGTGAGAATATCCTAATGCCAAATCAATTTCTTGACCAGTAACAGTAGCACGATAACCCACACCGACAAGTTCCATTGTTTTTTGAAATCCTTCTGTTACGCCTATCACCATATTAGAGATAAGAGAACGGTACAAACCGTGCATTGCACGATGACGAATTTGATCGGTAGGACGAGAAACTTCAATATTTCCGTCTTTCTCTTCAATTTTGATATCTCTATCAACATTCAATTTCAATTCGCCTTTCGGACCTTTAACAGACACCTCATTAGCAGCAGAAACACTTAGTGTTACACCTTTACTAACGGGAATTAATTTTTTGCCTATACGTGACATAATAATTTGTTTAAAAAATGTGTTTTGAAAATCAATTTGCCTAACCGGTCAGCCTGTATAGGATGTAGGGCTTAATGTATTAGGACTTGTATGCTAAAAAAATATTAGAAAATGTTACACAAAACTTCACCACCTACATTCTGAGTGCGAGCTTCTTTATCTGTCATTACTCCTTTTGAAGTAGAAACGATAGCCACACCCAAACCATTTTGTACTCTGCGAATTTCAGATGGCTTTGCATACTGACGAAGACCAGGACGGCTAACTCTTTCTAGAGTTCTGATAGCTGGTTCTTTAGTAGCAGCATCATACTTCAATGCTATTTTAATCAAACCTTGCTTGTTATCATCTTCAAATTTATATTTAAGGATGTAACCTTTATCGTAAAGAATTTCTGTGATGCGCTTTTTTACATTAGATGCAGGAATTTCAACAATACGATGTTGTGCCATTTGGGCATTACGAATACGAGTTAAAAAGTCTGCAATTGGATCTGTTACCATTTTTTGTTTTGTTCTTTTTTGAATTAAATAATTGTTACCGGTTTCAGTAAAATAATTACTGACCTCGAAACTAAAAATTTGTGTGCTTACCAGCTAGCCTTCTTAACGCCAGGTATTTTACCATCCAAAGCCATGTCGCGGAAAATGTTACGGCACATACCGAAGTAGCGCATATAACCTTTTGGACGACCTGTCAATTGGCAACGGTTTTTAAGACGAACTGGAGAAGCATTCTTTGGAAGTAAGTCCAAAGCAGCATAATCACCAGCAGCTTTTAAAGCAGCACGTTTCTCAGCGTACTGAGCCACCATTTTCTCGCGTTTGCGTTGGCGTGCTTTGATTGATTCTCTTGCCATGTATTAGTTGTTATCTTTTTTAATGTTTTTGAAAGGCATTCCTAATTCTTTCAACAATTCGTAAGCTTCCTCATTGGTACGAGCAGTAGTTACGAAAGTGATATCCATACCACTAATGCGGTTTAGTTTATCAATATTGATTTCAGGGAAAATGATTTGTTCTGTAACACCCATTGTATAGTTTCCACGACCATCGAAAGATTTTTCGTTGATACCTTTAAAGTCACGAACACGAGGAAGAGATACAGAAACAAAACGATCCAAGAAATCGTACATATTAGTGCTGCGTAATGTTACGCGGCAACCAATAGGCATTGCTTTACGCAATTTGAAGTTTGAAATATCTTTAGTTGACATTGTTGCAACAGCTTTTTGACCTGAAATGTTGGTCATTTCGTTAATTGCATCATCAATCAATTTTTTGTCAGAAGTAGATCCTTTAACACCTTGGTTCAAACAAATTTTCACCAAACGAGGGCATTGCATTACTGATTTGTAACCAAACTTTTTCATCAAAGCTGGTACTACTTCGTCTTTGTATTTAGACTGTAATCTTGGAGTATATGTAGTCGTTGCCATTATTTAATTACCTCCCCTGTTTTTTTAGATACACGAATAAAAGTACCCTCTTTTCTCTCACGCTTGATACGAACAGGTGCTTTAGCTTTAGCATCCCACAACATTACGTTAGAGATGTTAATTGGTGCTTCTTGTTTTACAATACCGCCCTGTGGGTTTTGGGCGTTTGGTTTCAAGTGTTTCGTGATGATGTTAACACCTTCAATAAGCACAAGGCCTTTTTGAGGATAAACCGCTTGTACTATACGTGGAGTTGTACGGTCTTTATCATCGCCAGCGATTACTACAATGCTATCGCCTTTCTTGATATTAAATTTAGGTTGAAATCTCTTTTTCACTGCTTATATTATTAAGTTATCGTACAGTCGTTTTTCCAAATGGGCTGCGAAGGTACAACATATATTTTACAATACCTCTGGTGCGAGGGAAACAATTTTCATATATCCCTTATCACGCAATTCGCGGGCTACTGGGCCGAAGATACGAGTACCGCGTGGGTCATCAGAGTTGTTGAGCAATACCACTGCATTGTCGTCAAAGTTGATATATGAACCATCTTTACGACGCAATTTGTTTTTGGTACGAACGATAACTGCTTTAGAAACAGTACCTTTTTTCATGTTACCACCAGGTATTGAGTCTTTTACAGTAACAACGATTTTATCGCCGATGCCTGCATAATCCTGACCTGAATTTCCCAACACGCGAATGCACAATACTTCTTTGGCACCACTGTTGTCGGCTACACTGAGCCTAGATTCTTGTTGTATCATCTTTAAATAAGATTACTTAGCTTTTTCAATAATTTCTACTAAACGCCAGCATTTGTTTTTGCTCAATGGGCGTGTTTCCATAATACGCACTACATCACCAACACCTGCAGTGTTGTTTTCATCATGCGCCATGAATTTGGTCGTTTTTTTAACGAACTTACCGTATAACGGGTGTTTGATTTTACGTTCTACTGCTACAGTGATGCTTTTGGCCATCTTGTCGCTGCGAACGATACCGATACGCGATTTTCTACTTTTTCTTACTATCGTAGTTGACATCTCTTAAAATATTAATTTTAGATACCTGCTTTTCTTTTTGATTGCTCTGTTTTAAGACGAGCTACTTCGCGGCGGAGTGAACGGATAGTAAGCGGGTTTTCTATCGGGTTCACAGCATGACTGAATGTTAGTCTTTTCAACTGCAACTCAGTTTCAGCTACCTTATCGGCTAAGCCTTGACCATCGAGCGAGCGATAATCTTCTTGTTTTGCTTTTTTTGCCATTGTTATTGTTTATTTAGTATTGCAAGCTGTTTACAACGTAAACATTTAGCTACTTTTTTAAAAATTATTTTCTACACCTTGTACAATCGTACAATTGCTAGCTTATTCTTAAGCTTCTGCTGCGTAATCTCTACGCGTTACAAATTTTGTAGCAATTGGTAGTTTTTGTGCTGCAAGCTCCATCGCCTCTTGTGCAATTTTTGCAGATACTCCTTCAATTTCGAACAAAATACGTCCTGGTTTTACAACAGCTGCCCAATACTCCAAACTACCTTTACCTTTACCCATACGCACCTCGGCTGGTTTATTAGTAATCGGTTTGTCAGGGAAGATGCGAATCCAAACGTTACCTTCACGTTTCATATGACGAGTCATCGTTTGACGAGCGGCTTCAATTTGACGGTTCGTTATCCATTTTGGTTCTAAAGCTTTGAGGCCAAATGAA